TAGGGTTCAGGGTTTGGCGTTTGGGGGTCGAGGATGGGCGACTTTGGCTGACATAATTTAGGCTGCAGCCTTGCATTCCTACACCCCCAAAAAAAGCTTCTCGAAAAGTCGACACCCCAAAACCCAAACCCAAAGAGCCCTAAAGCCCACATTCCAAAGCCGAAGCCCTGCACAACCCGAGAAAGCCACTACTCCCTGAATCGTTAAATCCCTAACCCCTAAATCCCTAAGCCTTAAATCCCTAACCCCTCAGTCCCTAACCCCTGAACCCCTAAATTCTTAACTCCCTAATCCCTAACTCCCGACACCCCTAAACCCCTAAATCCCTAACCCCCAACACCTAAAAGCACCAACAAAAAGGCCCCTCGAAGCGTCGAAGATCCTCGGCTCAGGTCAAGGCCCGAGCACCTTTGGTGGCGCAGATGAAAGCCGACGCGGAGGCTCTGCCAGCAGGGCGAATTGGGGGTGGGGGGGGAGGTTGGGGGTTGGGGGGTTGGGGGGTTTAGGGTTTTGGGTTCTGGATTTTTTTAAAGGGGGGGAGGGGGGTTGAGGGTTTAGGGTTTAGGGTTTAGTGGGGGGATAAGGATTTAGGGAGCTTAAGGGGAGCAGAAGTTGTGTTGAAAAAAGGCAGGTGCAGTGGATCCCTGTTGTCTTTTAGCAGTAGTAGTAGTAGTAGTAGTAGTAGTAGTAGTAGCAGTAGTACCAGTACCAGTACCAGTACCAGTACTAGTACTAGTACTAGTACTAGTACCAGTATCGGGTACCGCACTGAGGCCTTCAAGTTCTGGCTGTGCTCGGGGGGCTTGACGGATGAAAACGCCAAACCCTCAAGCCCTTACCCTAGCGGCCCTACCCCGTAGGCTTGTCGCTATGGGCGAATTGTCGCAGGTCAAGAAAGCAGCCGAGGATGAGGCGCAGAGCTGGAGACAGAGCTGGCGGATAATTACTACTCTCAAATAGAATCTCCAAGCTTGTTACAAAAATGGTTACTATAGGGGACAAGGGTTTGAGAAGCCGTTTCGAACCTCTGAACCTTCGAACCCCAAACTCCGGAAGGTTTTCGTGGATTTAAGGATTTAGGGGTTCGTGCAAGCAGTCACTGCGGACGATCCGGGCGAGATGCAGGATGTAGGGGTTTGGGGGGTGTAGTGTTTAGCGCTGGTACATAGCAGCTGGCATATGCAAATGTTCGCAGCTGTTGGGCTTTCGCGCGTGGCCATTAAACTTTGTTCTTCCCGAAACCACAATTCTCAATGGGTTTTGCAGGGCGTGAGGAGCCTAAAATGCCGAAAGGTGCGTGCCAACAGCCCTTGCAAATTCAGCAAACGATAGCCATCTTAAACGAAGAACTACTTTAAGGATCCAGGAATTTAGAGAGCCTGCTTGGGGTCAGCCTTATAGTCAGTGCTCCAAATTCCCTCCAAGAAACGGTGTCAAATCCCAAGACCCTAAACCGCCTAAACCCCAAACCCCTAAACCCTTACACCCATAAACCCTAAACCCCTAAACCCCTAAATCCCTAAACCCCTAAACCCCTAACCCCCTAAACCGCCTAAACCCCTAAACCAAAGCAGGCCACCAAGGAGGCTACCAAAATTGCGCAGAAGGAAGCCCGGGACGGTCTCAAGCGCAAGGCAATGGTCAAAGCCAGGGAAGAAGCACAGGAGTGGCAGAAGCCGAAAGATGTAGCCTTTGGGGGTCTCGCGGCTTCGATTCAAGGCTTGGGATCTTTAGGATGTAGGTGCTTAGGGTTTAAGGGTTTTAGGGTTTAGGGTTTAGGGTTTAGAGTTTAGGGTTTAGGGTTTAGGGTTTAGGATTAAGGCCAGTTTAGAGTGTAGGTTTTTTTTGTTAAGGAGTTGAGTTTTTACATGTTATCCCTTTCAGGAGAAGGCCAACGAGAAAGCCAAGGCGAACGCTTTCCAGGAGGCCAAGAAAGCAGCAGAGGATGCGGCCAAGGCCCGATGACCTGGTAGTGCTTTTTCAGGGGTTGGGGAGCCTTGGGGTTTTGGAGTTGTAGCTCCTTTTGGTTTCGGGGTTAAGGGCTTTAGGGCTTTGGAATTTCAGGCTTTAGGGTTGAGGGTTTGGGGCTTCTGCCGAGCGAGGGTGGCATTTCAGGCATGAGGGGCTGGTTTCTTTCTCTGGATCTGTGAGGCTTAGGGTTCCCAACGCCCACCCCTCAACGAAGGACCATTCCGCGAAACCCTCACGCGTCCTTCTTTCGGTTGATTCCTGAATTAAACGGGACATTGGGCCTTCTGCAAAGCCTGGAGCCACCTGCAGGGACCCTGCACCTTGAGATATGCTCCCTTCCGAGGACGAGCCCCCCCCACAGAAATTGCCAAAGAACAAGTATAGGTTTAGGGTTTAGGGTTTAGTAGTTTAGGGTTTAGGGGTTTAGGGTTTAGGGTCTAGGTTACCATATCTTGCAACATGACCACCATAGACCATAATGGAACCATGATAGACCATAATATGGTGCCCACCATACTAGACCACACACATTCCCAAACGCCTTAAACCCTAAACCCCTAAACCCTAAACCCCTAAAACCCTTAAACCCCTAAAACCCTTAAACCCCTCAACCCCCTAAAACCCTAAACCCTAAACCCCTAAAACCCTAAACCCTAAACCCCTTAGTTGAAGCCAGGAGAAGGCCGTGAAGGAGGCCCGTGAGGCTGCGGAAGAGGAGGCGGAACAGAGAGCCAAGGCGGCTCCTGGGGGGGGCGAGCGCGCGCGGGAGACCTTGCTTTTTTAGGGCCTTCTGCGGGGGGTTCGGGCTCTACTGCAGGGGTTTTTTCGGGCCTTGGGTGTGTGGGATTGCAGGATAGGGGTGTTTTTTGTCACAGCTTCGGGGGTATGAGCTCGGCAACCGCTCAAAACGACCTTGCTGTAAACATGCTGTACCCCTTCTCGTACTTGCTGTTTCTTCCTATGTGTGATACTACCTCTTTGTGCATTGACTCTCTGTCTAGAAAGGTGGTTTTCTTTTCTGTTGTTATTCTTGTGTTGTAGTGTTATACCGCGACTTTCTCTCTGAAGTTGTCCTTAGTTTTCTCGTTGCGACTTGTTGCAAAAAGCTGCGTTACTCAGTTTGTTGTTGCTGTCATCCAGATGGCTGTTGCTACATCTCGTTACTATTATGTCTTCTTGCGGCGGTGCTGTCATCGGGCTTCTTCTTGCTCTTGGGCTCTCAGCATGGGGGGTTGTCTGCTTCTTTGCAGGAGAGTTGGTTTTCGGGGTCATGTCTGCCGCGCTTTCGGGCTCGGGTTGTTTTCGTGTCTTCGGCTCCGTTTTGGCTTGTTGCTAGAACGTCCGCAAAACAACGTCAGGTTCTATCGTTGACCTTGTGCTCTTGTGTTGCATTGTGGCACGTCGGAGCTGCTCTGCACTCCCTGCTTCTCTTGGGAGATAGCGTTCGGTCGAACTGTGCCGTGCACCTGTCCTTTTGATTTAGAGTTTAGGGCTCCCTTCTTTGCCTGCACGACTCTTAGTCTACTAGCCCAGTGCCTCGCGCCATCTCCGAGAACGCGAATCCCAAACCGAAGGCCGCATTCCAACAGCATCGTTGTTTCTCCCATCTGGATCTCCAACTTCTTCAGTCCGTGCAACCTGCAGCTCCCTGCAACAGCCCTCATCTTCAAAGCTCAGGATGGCACGATGCCGGGAACTTTCAATCCAAGAAATAAATCCAAGAGGCAACAGCCCGCAAAGCACCGAGCGCGAACTCCGAAAAACCTTGGGCCCAAACTCCCTAAACCGCTTGAGGCAGCGGCCGAAGATGCAGCCACCAAACGAGCGGCAGGGCGCTCAGTGCTTCCTTCAGCACTTCAGGTGGTCAAGGGTGCATCGGCTGTAGAGCTCTGGAGCTTTGGGTTTAGAGTTGCGCCCTTGAGGTTGGGATTTGTTGGATGCTCCTTGATCTCAGCATCTGATGGATCTTGAGCTAACTCGAGATGCTGTTAGTAGATGCGACGCCGCAAGAATGGAGTCTCCTTGTTGGCCTTCCGCCAAGGGTCACTCGACGGATTTTGGGTTGAGGTTGGAGAGATGTAGCCTTCCAGGCCCTTGGGGCATGGGTTTAGGGCCCGCAAAACATAAAGTTGTGCACGTGGGCGGTCCGTATTCAGAGGATCCCATTATGTGGTGTCTTTGTTCAGCCTTCATTCTTTCAGAACTTACGTCGAAGCCAGGCATCAGATACAAGAGTCGTGGCAACATAGCCAGACGAACCGTCTGCCGAAAGCAGCATTAAGAGCACCAAGCAGAAGAACCCCTTAAACCCTAAACCCTAAACCCTAAAAGCAGAAGAACTCCCCCCCCCCCCCCCCCGACCCGCACCTGAATTCGGCGCTCGAAACCTGGAGGTGGCCAAAGCCTCCCGCATCGCTGCCGAGGGCGCCGATGGGGCCTCCGAGGCCGGGTGCTTGTTGCTGAGTTCTCCCTGCAAGGGCCCTGTAGAGGTTTATGCGGCTTGGTGGAGTTTTAGGAGGGTACTCTTGAAATATAAGGTTCTGTGGGGTTCCGAATGCATTCAATTCACCAGAATACGGAAAGCATGTCCCTTTATTGTTGTCGTTTAAGTGTACGTTCACGGCTGGTTCCCTAAACATGCATATATTATCTGCATATGTACGTACGTACTCGAGGGTGTCCCGCATCCTAAGGACAAGCACAAGGAAAGCGAGGAAAAGCCTTCGGAATCCAAAGCTGATGCGAAGCCCGAGAAATCAGGACCGTGGATGCTTCCTGCAATCGGAGGGGCCCGTTGTGCTGCTCGGGGTTTGTCGCTTCGACCCTTGCGGCATTGAGGATTTGCTGCGAATGTGTCGGTTCAGGAGTCAAAGAGGACAAGGACGCCGGAGAGACCGAGGCTGATCACTGAGGTGCAGGGGAAGCAGGTCGTAGCGCATGACACTTGAGGCGGCACGTCCCTGACGCCTGGACTGCCACATGTCACAGCTCTCGGAGCACCACTGGCCCGCATGGGCCGTTGCATATGCGAGCATGAGGAAAAAGAGTGCCTTGTCTTTAGGAAGAAGCTCCTAGTCTTGGCCCTGGGGCCGCCCTGTGGCCAGCTCTTGCAATTCCGCAGTCTGCTTTCCCGGCCGATGTGTTGATGACAGCCGGCATCCGTCAGACCTGGGCTCAACATGCGCAGCAGACAAGGTAGTCATTTAATTTCAATACATCTTTTTCATGATGTTCCTCGCTGTGCCGGTTTCAGAAAAAAAAAACATGCTGCTTGCCCTAGCATTTTGCGCCTTGGCACGTTTAGGTAGAGCGTTGGCTTTTTGCTGGGGGCGGTCGGAGGCAGCGGTTCGTGAGTCAGAAGCATGCGAGGCATCGGCTTCCGCTGGGCTTCAGCAACAAGACCGGCACGGCAGGAGGATGTGCTTACACTTGCAGGCTGCTGCTGTCTAGGGGAGGGGAGAAGGTATGGGGGGGTAGGGAAAGTAGTGGGGGCATTTTGGGAGCTCGGTTTCGGAACTTTACATTCCCGTGGCTTTGGCAGGCCGCCCCTATGGGGTGGAAGATTCCGATGCTGGCTTTGCGTTCTGGGGTTGTTGGGAGTGTTGGGACCTTTTGGGGGAAGTGCCTCTGACTCACTGGATGATAGGCTTTCTGTGGGCAGGGGCTGATCTTTGGCTTTGAGCCAGAACTCTGGGTGTCGCCCGCCACCGACATCGCCACATGCGCTACCGTGATTTGGTTACAAACCCTGTAAACACTATCGGATATGGCCCCAGTCGTGGGCACAAGCAGGCTGTTCCCCACTTGGCCGCAGGTGCACACGACACGCAATACCTCTCGCCAGACTCGCGCATTTTGCCGAAGTCGTGTAAAGACGATGGGGTGATCTTCCTCGAGCCCGGGGTGACCTACGACACGCAGGCGACTGCTCGCACTTGCATCAGGGAACGGGAGTGCACACGCAAACACAGAGACACCGATCTAGACAGCACGCACGTGTCCCTCAAAATAAATATTGCGAGAGCTACGCGTATGAGCCGAGCAGCATTTTGAGAGTCCGGAAATGAACCCCAAATTGCACATGCACAGGTGGGCCTCCACCGCATCGAGTCGCGTTGCCATACGCTGCAGGGAGCTCCTGGGACTCAGCTCCTTTGCTCCGGTGGCATTTTCTTCGAGAACAGGGACGGTATGACGATGGTTGGGCCCCTCAGTGTGACGATGGCCCCAGGAGTGCCAAGCCTCGGAAACGCTTCGGCGATTCACGCTGCCGGCAACCTACGAGTTGTGGCGCCCCAGGGTGCGGCCCTGCAGTTCAGGTGGCTTACATCTTCGGGGCGGGGGGCTGCCCTCAGAGCCGAGGGCGACATCTTCTTGGAAGGTCTAGGCAGGATGACTTTCGAGGACATACACAGCTCTCGTACTGGTGCATTGCACACCCCTCAACTCATCCGCAGCACCGCGGCCCATCTGGAATTCGAAAACTGCTCGGCTCGAGATTCGGGCGGTGCCATGTTTGGCGGCAAAGGCGTGATCTTGAACAGTGGCAAATCAGACCATGCAATTCGCTTCCACGGTTGCAAGTCAGGATGGAAGGGCGGTGCAGTCGTCAGTCGAGGCAATGTAGAGCTGAAAGGCAAGGGCACTTTTGTCTTCGAGAAGTGCCACTCCGACTTGGTCGCTGGTGCTGTGGGTGCCGGTACGGCCGTGGTGATTGATCTTCAAGACGAAGGTTCCGTAGATTTCGTTCAATGCATCACCGGGGGTGGACTGCGGTGCGATGGGTGCCATGGGCTCGGCGGAGGCGCAATTTCTGCTGGCAAGGAGGTCAACATCACTACTGGCCGTGTCCGTTTTTCGGGCTGCTTCGCTGAGACTGGCATCGGAGATGCGGTGATGAGCAAATACGGCGCCATCAACATCGGCGAGGCAGCTCATGTGGTCTTTGCTGGCATGGATAGTCTTCACAGCTCGCGCCTGTCTGCGAGAGATGTAAGGATGCCGCCTGATGGGACGGTTCTTCCCAGCGATGTGTTTGCACAGGTTGACCTGTTGGCAGAAGGCAGTTTCTCTTTCCACGAATGGATCTGCCCAGCCGGCACAAGGTTCGTTATTAGGGCGGACGGTAGTCCCGCACGCGGTCAGTGCAAAATATGCTGGCGCGGCAGTGTCTCACTGGCACCTGCTTCCGTAAGACTTGAAGGCGAGGTCAAGCCGGAGGCCGGCAGGAAAATCGTGCTGGTGCGACACTCCTCTCCGAATTCTCTGAAGAGTCTCGGCATCTCGATCCTCACGAAGGCTGCAAAGTCCAGAGACGACGCATGCCTGAAGGACCCTGGTTGCTTGGGAATTACAAAATCAGCTGGACAGCGCACGGCCTACCACGAGCTCGCCTTGGTGCTCAGCTATGAGAACAAGCGGGTATTTACCTTCGGCAATCGCAGCGTGCAAACCGAAAGGGGAGAGAAGCTGACAGTGCCATGCAATACATATAACGCAGGCGTCCCGCTGGCCCTCGTGGAGCCGGGGCAACATGTCACTTGGGAGGACCCTGAGAGGGCGCAACACTTTGAGCTGGACAAGGATGGCATGCTTGTCCCTGCGCACGAACCGCACTTGACCATCGGCCTCGACCGCGACGTTAGCTACAGGTTTGAACCGTTTGACCCATATGGAGCATGCATGACCTGCGAGAAAGTCGCCACGCATTTGGCCGACAAGCTGCAGTGCTTAGGAGCTTCTCATGTGAGGTCCCTTCCGGGGTATATGATTTCGAATCCAGCAGCAGGAGCGAGGAAGGTTGAGGTCCACAGATGCCCCAATGCAGCGGCCTGTCCAGGGAGCAACCTCAGCGTTACGGCGGAGGGCCGGACGTCCTCCCGCAGCCGAATCTGCGCGACAGGCTATGAGCCAAACCCTGGCTGCACACGCTGCGCCCCCGGCTACGGCCGGCCGCAGCTAGACCCCTTCATATGCCAGGCACGAGGGCTTGCTGCAGAATAAACATGCAGTGCAGCTGTTCGTAGTTACTCCGACATTCAGGTTCCAGTTTCTGTATGTTTCTGCATTCTGACAATCCTTCGGATTCCGTTTGTCCCAGACAGGCATGCGGCGAGGCGTCCTTGCGGCGACAGGTAGGCATAGCCGCACTATCCAACTGCATCTTCTATGGCATGGCGTTGAACTCTGCAAAGCCGCGCAGTCACATTCAGCAGATCGTCAAGGCAGGCTGGGCACAGGCCGCATACGGCACACAAGTTGCTGAGATGCCTCACTCGTGTCAGCATTGCAGTTTGCTTTCTTTTGGAGCACCATTCATGTCGTCAATCCCTGGCCCAGCCCTGAGGTTTTCCTGTCCTTCATCACCATTTCTGCCAGAAGTCTCTCAGCTGTGCGCCACACGCCGCATTATCATCTGCTGCTGTGCCCTGGCTTGAAGTATCGCTCATGCGCGCGTGTGAACACAATAGACAGACAGCCACGTGATCGGTTCTGCCTAGATGTGGACATGGGCGTTTGCATCAATGTATTGCCGGTCTATAAGGCGCGACATCTCAGCCTCCGCACAGTGGCTGCATCGGTCTCTCTTTGCAACGGACTTCGTAGTGCATGCCGAGCCGGGGTGCTCCAGCTGCCTTGGGGTGCTTGTGTTTAGGAAATGTTTCCCTTTGCTTACCGAAAGAATGTAAAGTAGAACACATCGCGACTAGCTCTTGTCTGGTCCAATATTTTAGGGGACAGGGCAGCGTATAGGGACCATCACGACCCAGGTCCAGTGTCAGCTCCTTCGACTGCTGGGGCCTGGCGGATGGCCCCGTGAACCTGTTCTACAGCATCGCCCTTTCGTGGGCCATCCCAGTGCTCTTGCTCTTGCCACTCGCTTACAGGGTGCTGTATCTTCCGTGTGACAGAGCCGCTTTGAGCCCATCTGAGGCTTTCTTGGAGCTGGCTCGGTCTGCGTTCTTGGCGCCTTTGCTTGGTCGTTTGGGGCAATGTCTTCATTCCCCCGCTCATGGGTGCTGCGGCCACGCTGGTGCCGTGTTTCAGCACCCACGAAGGGGGCCGTCGATTCCTGATGTACGAGGCCGCATTCGAAACCCCATGCGCTTCCAAGTTGACCGAATCCATGGTGCTCCCGCGATTTTGGTTGGCAGTGGGGACAACAGTGCTGCTTGCCGTCATCGGCCCCGTCTTGTGGCTGTCGCTTGCCATGTCTATTTCCTCAATGCGGCGAGGCGTCGAAGATGATCGGACAGTCGGCTTCCTGGTGGCAGGCTACGAGCCCGGCTGTCGGTGGTGGGAAGTCACCGTCCTCGTCAGGAAATCTGCCATCTACGTTGTAGCAGCTTGCTTCCCGATGTCTTGGGCCCCCGAAGCACACTTGGTCTACCTTCTGTTAATCACGGTCGTTGCAGAGCTCGTCCATTGTAGCATACGGCCCTATGTCAGCCCACGCCTGAACAGGTTGGAGGGGCAGGTTCTAGGCGTTTCCTGTACAAACTTGGTTCTGGTCATCTCCTTGCTGTCAGAGTGGCCCTACCGACCGTACAGCATCTACGTCGGCACCTGCGTCCTTCTCTTTTTGCTCACAGCGGGCACCTACCTCTTTTTCCTTTGCTTCTACATTCGTGCCGTGTTCACGAGGGACGATTCCCAAAAGGGGAGGAGGTAGAGGACCAGGAGGACATGCAGGAGGCCGAGGATGTGGCACCTTGACGGCATCCAGCATCACGAAAGCGGTCTCGCGACACTGCACAGAACAGCGTTGCTAGCACGTCGCAGCGAGCAGCCCATGTGAAACTCGACCACAGCCCAGGATGCATCAGCTTAGCGCATGGACCTGGGAGGCTCGGCGGTTCAAATCTGCCCACGTTGCCTTGCTTCACCTGGCCGGAAGCGGCCTATGTCTGCCCCGTATGGCTAAAACACTGTGCTATCAAGATCTGCCTGTCCTCTCCTGCAGGACTAAAAGAAGCGGAACGTGATGTGAGAGGCACCTCACTCAACTTCAGGCTTCACCGCAGCTTCTCACTGGGCTCCCAAGGTTTCTAGAAGCTTAGCCCAGTGGCATGCCAAATGCAGCCTCCAATGTTCAGTTGTTTGTGCAAGTGCGAAAAAAGACGTGTGCATGCGGGAAGCATTCTCTGCAGGCCCGGAGCATCAGAAGCCTCCTTGACAATGCACCCTGCTGCCAGCCACGCAGGTACAGTTCTCGAAACGTCTTGCAAAGCTCATCTCCGGTCTAGAATTAGGGCCTAGAAGCTTCCAACCACATCTCTTGCTTGCTTTGGGCTTGTCGAAGTCTGCAGATGCACGTCAATGCAAAAACCTTGACCCTGACCTTCCGCCCTTCCGCTCCGCGCCCACCTCAAGACAGGAAAGGAGCTGCTAAATCTTAAACCCTAAACCCTAAACCCTCAACCCTAAACCCTAAACCCTAAACCGTAACCTGAAGCCGAACCCGAACAGAGCACGGAGCACCCATGTACGGTAGTGGGTTTTCCATGCTTCCGTGCATGCTCACAAACGACGCCGTGCTTCCCGAATATCGAGCCGTAAGCCTTACATTGTGAATCTTACAGCCTTCAAAACCTTGCCTACCCCAAATTGAAAGCTACACAGCCAAAGACCGCATCTAGCCTCAAACTCTCCACAAAGTGCTTGGCACTTTGTGGGCACGCCGTTGGAGTTGCGGCTGGATCTGGCCATGGGCTTTGCTGAGGACATTTGGCTTGAGATGGCCTTGGGGTTTAGAATCGTACGGAATGTTTCGCAAAGCTTGGTTTTGGCTGGGCTGGGGTAAGGTTCGGGTTTAGAGCTTTAGGGCCTCAGTGGCGTGAGGTCGTGTTTGTAGGAGGGTTGAGCTGCAAAGTTTAGCTCTTTCAAAGGATGATGCAGGGTCAAGCCCGGCAAATGAGCCATCCCACGATCCGTAGGTCCCGGTTCTGAAGTTTGCACATGTTTTGTGGTTTCGGCCTTAACTTTTGCCCCGATCTTTAAAACCAAGTCTTCTCCTTGAAATTGAAGAGTGGCCCGAGCAGCTGATAATGCATGCGGTGGCTGCTCCTGCAGAGTGGGGGTGCTTCGTCCAGTTATTCATGCGCGGGAGGCCTCGGGAGCTTCAGAATTCAAGGGCTTGCGCGACTTCCAGCGACTTTGGCAAAGAGAAACCTCGATGGGAGCAGGAGATCAGGCCGTTTTGGCCGAGAGTGCCGCATTGTACGATAAAGAGGAGGTTCGGGACAGAGCCTCCAAGCACGAAAGGTGGCGATCGAGGACTGGCAGGAGGGCGGAACGGCTTGGGTGCAGGGTCAGGCTGGGGACAAGTGTAGGCGTTGCGGCGTTGCATTTGGCACACACGATGGGGAGGGTGAAGATCCGGGTCGAAGTGGAGGTACTGGCATGTGGGTATGGTGGGCGCTCTCCCCCGCTGAGCCGGGGTCGGCGACAGGCATTTAGGGATCCTGAAATCCCTACGGACCGGGGATTTCGCACAGATTGGCCAAGACTCCCGCAGAACTGTTTCCTACGCGGGCACAGCCACCAAACACCACAGACCACCCCGTGCACAGTTTCTTTACAAAGAGGCCCAGGGGGCTTAGTAAGTAGCTTGTAAATGGAGTTATAAGTACGCTAAATGGAGCTACCCCCAAAGTAATCCATTTTGCAAGCTCGGCTGAGCTCAGGAGCTTCGGAGCCACTGGGCCGCCTTCTTTGTGCTCTTCTTCGCCAACGGAATGAAGAGCTTGGTGAACCAGGCCAGGCCGGGGGGGGATGTGGGGATTTCTCCGAAGCTGTCGGGCTCATCTGGGCAAAACTGTTGAATTCGGGTTTAGGGTTGAGGGTTTTGGGTTGAGGGTTTAGGGTTTAGGGTTTAGGGGATGTTTAGCAAACATACGGGTCGGCGAGGAATTGGCGGAGAGGCTTTGGACGGGCTTCGTGCTGGGAGGACTGAGCAAGCAGGTGATAATGCGGATTCCAGGCCTAGGCCGACCATGCGGTCCAACGAGTAACCCCGAAATCGCGCTTGGGGCTTCCCCAAACCCGATGCCTGAGCTTTGAGCCCAGGTGGAGGTGGCCTTCGCAAGATCTCTGGTGTCCTGCAAAGAGCCGTTGTCGGAGGTGTACACGGGATCCCAGTGGCATCTTGCCCAAGATTAAAGTCTTCAAACCGGAAACCACATGTCCCATAACCATAACCCTTGCACCCCAGACCCTTGAGCGCTAATTCCAAAACTTTCAAATCCACACTGGTCTTTTGGCAAGCAGCGAGCAGGTCCCGGCACAGCTCGCAAAATGCCTTTTTTGAAGCCGCTGCAGGCAACGGTCAACAGCCCCCCTTTCCTTGGAGATCCCACTGCCGAGGTGCGGCGACCGGCTTGAAGTCATCAGCGTGGGGTATTCCATCTCACAGCGCGGGCAGGCGACATTCGTTGCCTTGGCGGGTTCAGGGGACTTAGTAAGTCGGTCATAAGTAGGGTTATAACTGGGATAACTCCATTTAGGGTACTTATAACTCCATTTACAACCTACTTACTAAGTCCCCTGGACCTCTAAGTTGCCCTGGCGTTTCAGGGATTTGGGGCTGACCGCCTTGCCGCGCTGGCTGGCTCGAAGGGTCAGAGGGGAAGAACTCTGGTGTGGCGCATGGCCCAAAAGTAAAGGGCACTTTGGAGTGAGGGGATTGGAACATGGGCTCAGGCTGGTGCAAGAGACGCCTTGTTTCCGCTATTCCGTGCCAGTCCCCAAGCTCTGCAGGCAAACAAGAGCCCGAAACCACTAGGCCTCAGCTCTGGTTTAACACCAAAACAAGATTCCTTTATCTCCCCACCCTAACTCCCCGCCGTGCTTTGACAGAAACCCCTGCCAAACCTTCTGCGGGCGCACGAAACCTTGCCAGTCCAGCGTTCTAAAGCTTGTAAATGCCAAGCTCGTAAACCAGAGATTCCAATATCCCCTTGATCTAAATTCCGAGTCAACCAAGAGCTGTCCGAAAAAGTAGTTGTTCGGAATTGCTTGGGAGTGCCCGCAGGCTGGGATGGGTCTTTGCTTGTTTTGGCATCTTCCCGAATACCGGGGACGGATCTGCAGAATCCCAAGTGTTGGACTCATTGCAACTATCACTGGTCCATGGCCGCTGCCTGTAGTAGAAGACTGATGATTCCCACCCACCTGTCTAGTGTTGCACGGGTGCCGGTGTTTCTGATCGCAGATTTGTCCTCCTACTCCATAAACCTTAAACCCTAAACCCTAAACCCAGAGGCACAGGAAAGCTTCGCCATGCTGATCTCCATCCTCGTGGTTGCTGTCTTGGGCTCTGTGTGACTGGCTTGCATCGGGAGTTGTACTCGTAGGGAGGCCTCTCCTTGTTCTGATCTTGTTTCGTTTAGGGTTTAGGGTTTAGGGTTTAGGGTTCCTGAGTTGCACCTGATAGGGGTAGTGCTTTTCCTGGTTGGCCAGCCAGCAGCGGGAGCCTGACCTATGGCTCAGCCCTACGCAACCCTAAATCATTGCCCTAATATCACAAAAACGCTTCATCGTGCCCTCAAAAGAATAATTACCCTTAAAGTATCCTTGTGGTATCCCCAAGCTATCCCCCAAACCCTAAATTATCCTTCTGGCATCCTTATTATAGTATCCCCAAACTATGCGTCGTTTCGAAACCGCCAAGCAGCAGATGGGATCGTTGCATGGAGTTGTGTAGACCAGATCCCAACACACAACTCTAAAACTCTGGTTCCTACACCCCTGAACCTCAAGCCCAAGTCCTCTTGAAGCAGAGGTTTGGCAGGAAAGTGGTCCTACTGGGTGGCCTCTTGGGTGCCTCAGCACGGAGAATGGTTTAGGATCCCTCGAAGCCCTAAACTCCAAAACCCCTCCAGATACTGCGCCGCAGACTTGCAATCTCTGGTTTTGAAGCTTCGGCACCCGGAAGTGAAGCCCATGCACGGCTTTTGGGAGCAGATTCTGAGCCTTTGCCACACGATGCTATCCCAAGAATCCTGCAGGAAAAGAGACCCTCGAAGGCCACATACCGAAAATCCCCGAACTCCAAACTCAAGAGCGAAACCATCCCCCAAGTCCATTTAACTTGGTAGAATTTGGGACGATATTGTTCAATGCAAACTTCGACTTCGACATACTTCAGCTGCAAGCCCTGAAACTGTCGACCATAAATCAGGCACCACGATCTCCGTTGCTCTCTTCATCTTAGCCTGTGCGATGCCTGCCTGGAGCCGGGTACTCTTCGTCATGGGCCAAGGCTTCAATTCACCACAGCCCCCTGTACCCTGCCGCTCCATAATGCGCTGCATTGACAATATTGTCCTATGTTCTACCAAGTTGGATCATACTCGATGCGACTATGCGGCCATAGCACATTAAGCCGCGCTACAGTACATCTTTGCTAGACGAGACGACATCTCACACGCACGGTACTGTTCTCGATTATCTTGGGGTTGTCAGCCAGAGCTTCTGGCTTTGGGGGGGCTCGGGTTTAGGACGAAGAAGGGAACCGGTGCAGGTCATCCAAGGAGAAGTTCCACTTAGGGCACTTGTAGCGCCAGTGATCATCTCATTGCGAAGTCCTCTGACCCGATGAGGACGGCTTTACAGCTTGAGCTTTCGGTTTGGGTAAGGTTTCAGAAAAATGACCCGCAGCATCTCGAGAGTGCACTGCCCATGCAAGGCTGTTCTGAGCTTGCCCAAGGGGCTAGGTCTTTCTCTTGTTCGGACTCCCGTATGCGGACGCGGCCCAAATCCAGGCCAGAGTTCCTGAACTTTGACCTTCTCCTGCCGACCCCAGATGACCCGCAATGCTTCCAACACTAGCCTCCCCCTCCCAGGGATACCAAAGCTTATACATCAAATCGAACTTGTGTGAGTAAAGTCGCTGTAAGCATCCCTAGCCAAAGGAAAATGATGTAGTACTGCAATGAACCCTAAACCCTATGAACCCTAAACCCAAAAAACCCCAAAGGCGAATGAAACGGAGCACAGCGCCAAGACTCCGCCAGGATTGCAGGGGCTTCTACCCATCGGCCATCTTGCAGGCAGGAGAGCTTAAACCCAGGATCCAAATCCGAGATCCTACGAAAGCGAAGAAGCCTCACAACAACTCCAATCATAGCCTGCGAATCAAAGCCTACAGCCAAAAACCTGAACCTGCCCATGATTAGGACTTGTGAGATTGTGGTGTTTCAGGGTGAAGGCTTGGGGAACAGGAGTTCATGCTTTAGGGTGTTGTGTTTAGACACCTGTACAGCTTTGAGCATAAAAACAACTATTGGAGCTATTTTAGCTTTGGGCCTTGGACTTCATTGCGGGTGCCTGAGGTCGGGTTTCTGGGCCACTGGTATGCAGGGCCTCCTCTACACCTCCAGGTTTGATGTTGGTGCCCACAAACATGCAAGCCCATTGCGTTCACCCTGATGCCTTCATCTTTCTACCTACAAAGCCGAAGTTGAACAGCCCCCCGAAAAACCCCAAGGCCCTTCAACCTCGAGTTGTTGGGCCCTGGCCTTGGTTCCAAAGTTCGAAGGATGCCTGGGGAAGTTGGGCATTTCGGGGTGGTTACCGATTGGAGTATAGCCATGTTTCAAGCCATATTTGTTAATCCCAGTCCCAACAGTCTTGTAAACCGCTAAGACCCCCATAAAACGGAGATGGCTTTGACAAATCCTGTGCCTGACTCTTAAGCCCCTCTTGGGCTCCGTTTCCAGAGGCCTGGATCCCTAAACCCAGATGTAGGGGCCTGAAACATACCTACACTATTTTGGGGGTTCCTCATTATACTTATAGTATAATATGCCCCAAAACCCTATTCTAATTATTAAGCCGCCTACATTAAGCCCCACTTCCGGAGGCTTGATCATCTTCGACATCTCAGTGAAGGGAGGTGGGATGGCGACCTACCAGGCGGGTGCGAAGGGCTTGGTTCAGGGTTCTGTAAAGGCTGAGTTTGATATGGTTTAGGATTTCAACGGTTTAGGGATGTTCACTAGAAGCTTGGTGTTCCAGGGAATTGGGGCTTCATATTGGAGTTCCGGACGGACTTAACTGTGGCTTGCCAGAGGGGCTTAAGATTCTTTGCGGGCCCTTTTTGTAAAGCCGCTGCATGGTGAGCAAGCCCAAAGCAGAAAGTAAGTGCAAACAGTTGAGTCCCTTACGATACATCCCAACGGCTTGCCTTCACCTGTGAAATCATTGGGGTGCTGTGGGGTTGCGCTGATATGCACCAAGCCCCAACAAAGGGTCACACCGGCAGTGTTGGCGAGGGTTTGCAAGTGTTAGTGTAAACAAAGCCCCAACCATTGATCCCTGGAGGTTATTCTCCCTAGAGGACGCCCGTTTCAAACTTCGGGCTTCCCCCCACCCCTTCTGCGGTGTTAAGAGACGTGGGGTTTCTCAGTCCAAGATTTGGGGGAGCACCTTATTAGGTTTGGGTTTTGGTACTTTGCGCCTTTCTAAGGCGATCAACCTTCTGTATTCCTCGTGCCATCGATCCCAGTTGCTTCATCCCTAAAGAACAAAATGTCTTTCTCGAGTCTCACACCCTTGGCCCCGTAAAGCCCTCCATCAGCAGCGTCTGAATCCCAAAGCCGCTTGTCCCTGACATTTCTATAGATCCAACACAGCAATCGACTAGAAGCGAGTATCAGACTTCGCATAAAGGCAGTCCCAACAGAAGTGGAACATCCCGGGCAAGACCCTCAACGCCAGGTCCTAAGCTTCAGTCGTAAGTCTCTAGTCCCAAGCACCAGACCCAGAAATCAAAGCCGACACATGAAGAAACGACGAAGAGTAGTAGGAGTCACAATATTTTCATAGCAGACAGTAAGCAGAGCTTGAGATGAAGACGAGTCATATAGTCCTAGCCATAGCAGACATTAAGCAGAGCTCCCTACCATAATTATAGTATAAGATATCCCCAAAAACCCTATTCTAATTATTAAGGCCCAGAGCTCTAGAAAAAAACAAAAACCAAAAAAAAACAAAAAAAAACGTCTGAGGTGAAGGGCCTCCTCGACACCGTCGGAAGTCTTCTCTGGGGTCCCGTGCTGGGGAACTTCGTGCAATACCTGGAACCTCGACGTTTGGCGCTTTGGGTTTTGGGGTTTTGGGGGTTTTGGGGTTTAGGGTTTAGGGTTTTGGGGGGCTCCTTATTATAATTATAGGATAATATAATTGTTAAGGCCCCTATATTAAGTTTGGGGTTTTGGTGGTTTTGGTGAGTCTAACAGACTTCGGTCTTGCAAACCCCTCATCCATAGGCCCTGAGGGTTTGGGGTTGAGGGGTGAGCTCAAAGGTTGGAGGACTTGGAGTTTAGGGTAGGGCTTCATCAGGGTGTATAGATTCCTCCTCAACTGTCCGGTGCTTAGTAGGGAATGAGGGAATGGATCCCTATGAGGTCACACGCACATAAAAGACCGCAGGGGTTTTCGCAAGGAGCGTTTAATTAGAATGTGCTTTTAACCCACGCCTGCCAGCAAATTTCAGCAATGTGTATTTATGCTTGTTGAAGGGACGATGTAGGATCATCCTGCCTTGAAACTTAGGGCGTTGCTGTAAATACCGGTGTCTTGGGCATGGTCGCGAAAGGCATGGACGCTTGTGATAGATTTTATTGTTTCACATCCTTGTGCAGTATGTTGTACAAAGAGGCGAAAACGCTGT